TATATATATTTCTTTATTTCTTTCTTTATCTCATGTTCAATTTTTATTCAACCTCACTTTCTTGTTTCTGAACAATACAAAGAGACATAAAATTGCAGAATAATAAAATCCAGAGATTATTAATCAAAATCAATGGTCAATTTCCCTACCATGGACTGATAAGGTTCAGTCACATACAAATTACTGAACAAGTTACTAATTTTTATTAGTTTTCTAAATTTTGCCTGAGAAAGTTCCATAGTTTATTGCAAGGCATGTCAGAAGACCATACAAGGCAAAGAATGGACTCAGGCTCACTTACAGTTATTTACAGGTATATATGTTAATACCCTTTTAGGTCATAAGAGGATTATAAGTGCACTTGAGTAAAGTATGTTCTTGACAGAAGGGAATGCATAGACTCAAATACTGTTATCAATCAGGTCTCTACAGTTATCATATGATAAAACATTGAAATTAGCTAAAACTAAACATCTAAAATTTATATACTTATAACTTCTACTTACAAATATTCTAACATTTTTAAAAATATATCTCCCGCTAAAATCAATACCATAGCATAAAACAACAAATTCTAAAGAAGAAGTTCAGAAGACATTAAATAGCATACATGCAGAAAGTGAAAAGTAGTCCTACTACCAACACACACAACCATTCTCTCAACAAACATCTGAGCGCCTCTTGCATACAAGGTACACTTCTAGGTACCAGAAATATAAAAGCAAACAAAATAAAGTTTATATCCTTGTGGAGCTTACATTCTGGTAAGGGAGACAGGCTTATAAGAATGGTAAAAGATAGTAAGTGCCTCAGAGGAGAATAAATCGGGGAAAGACTGAAAGGCGTGCAGATTATTATTTAATATTAGCTGGTCAGGAAAGGTCTCTCAGTTATGGTGACATATAAGCAAAACTGGAAGAAACTGAAGCTGTAGAATTCCAGATAAAGGAAATGGCAAGAGCAGAGGTCCAGGGCCTGAGCCAATATACAAATTCAAGAAACTGCCAGGCCAGTAAAGTACAGTGGAGGTGGTTAAGCTAAGACCTATGGGAGATGAGGGCGGGAGTGTGGATAGACAGGGACAGGTTATCCGGGCCTTCAAAGGAGGTCGGGTGGTGCAGTGCCTAAGGCATTTGACTGCTAACAAGAAAGTTGGCAGTTCAAATCCCCCAGCCACTCTGCAGAAGGACGATGGGGCAATCTACTTCCACTTCCTTAAAGATCTACCACCTTGGAAACCCAATGGGGGTCGCTATGAGTTGGAATCAATTCAATGGCAGTGGGGTTTTGGTTTTGGTTGTTAAGGATCTGGGCTCCTCATGTGAGACAGATGGGAAGCTATTTATTCTTCTACTAGCAGAAATGAACCTATTTAATATTTTCAAAAGAATCACTCTAGCTGTACATAAAGAACAGTTGTTGTTGTTGTTATGTGCCGTCGAGTCAGCCCTGACTCATAGCAACCCCTCCTTGGGTTTCCGAGGCAGTATCACTATGGAAGTAGGATTGCCCAACCTTCCTTCCGAGGATGTTAAAGGAGAAAGACCACCTCACTTTAGAGATCACAATGTACTCAGAGGAGTATTTTGTTTTTCTTATAGGCTGTGTTTCCTTCGATACCTCAATACTCCAATAACAAAAGGAGTAGTGGTTGGAATTGCTCTTGTTTGCCACAGGCCTGGAAGTTAGAGTTCTTGAGGGAGAAGCAAGAGTTGTCACATGTTGCTTTTCAGGCTCTAGTTCAACCTATTGGATAGTGGCTCCTTTACCACAATTAATTTAATAGGTAAATTAGACAAAAATTGTTAGCTTCCTAACAAACATCCTTCTGGAAAATATCCCCTTACAGAATGTTGTTGTTGTTGTTATGTGACTTCGAGTCGGATCCGACTCATAGCGACCCCTCCTTGGGTTTCTGAGGCAGTATCACTACGGAAGTAGATTGCCCCATCTTCCTTCCGAGGAGTGGCTGGTGGGTTT